ACAACCCAATTGGTTGAAACCCAGGTAGTCAATATCATCCCTTTGTACATATTATTTAATCACCTTTATTTCTTCCAGTAAACGAACTACTTACTGCCTGTCCTCTGGCCTTTTCCTTGCGTCTCGTTCTCGTGGGACATTGCTTCTGCGACCCAGTCCGTGATAGCTGATTATCGATTCGGGTCCTGTGATTCATATTGCGTGGTTGGTGTTCCGAATTCCGTGCGTATTACTACTACCACTACTACAATCATTGCATAACATCACCCAATTATCCCCCGAGGATGTGTTCGAATCCCACCACCATCGCCTAACTTCCCGTATGATGTGTTGAATGGCAGCCCTTTGATTGGCCGACTCCCTCTTCCTGAAAATTGTCTTTGTATATTCAATAAAAAGAAGTAAAGTGAATAAATAACATCAACTGTTTGAGTGCCAAGGGGAAAATGCATAAATAGAATCGAAAAAGATGATGCAAATCATAATCCTTTCCGAGAAATTCATTTAGAAGAAAAAGCATTGTGATTGCGAACTTCCTCAAGTGAATTCTAATGTGATCAGGTTGAGAGCATGATTTATAGACACAATGAGAGTATTCCTGAGGTTGAACTAAGGGTAAACAATGTTTGGCTGTAGAAATTGAGAGTTTTGGTTCTAAAAAAGGGCTGGGTGGTTGGTGTTTATTCTATCCAGTTTAGAATTACCCTTTGTGATAGCATAGGATAAATACCAGTATGGTTAAAGTTGCTAACGATCATATGTAAGTTGCCACATAGCAGCGGGCACTAACACGTAGAAATGAATGAAAAAGGACATAATCTGATTCCGTACAGGAATATGCCATGTACGAAGTATTTACGATAGCAAAACGGGAAAATTCTAGGCGACACTGCACAGTTAGATATTCAATACCTTCCAAGTAGTGCAAATAGATAACATGGGACTTGCCACGACCGGGAGCATGAATTTCACCCTGATTAAAGCTCATCAATAGTACACATTCACCAACCCAACCAGAATTCGGACCCGAAAACCCGAATGGAAGGTGTTACAACCAACTCTTAGCAATAAGTTACTACATTGTATCAGTTTTTGTGACTAACGTTTGGACTAGTCTCACCTCGCACAAGCGAAAAACAACAGAGGTTCCCTCTACGACTTTGTTCCTTTATATCAAGTTTAGCAAAAATTTTCCACTTCTCCGATTTCACTTACTGAACTCACATTGCACATTGCTCTCAGCAGAACCTCCTCGATTAGAAACAGCCTCTGCTGCAATTAGTAAACGAATTGGAATGTTATTCACCTCGATTACAGAGTCATAATCTGTTCAACCCCATCAAGTAAGTTGAAGAAGATCAGTGATATATATTGCGTTGACGGGTGTGAACTCTCCGACTGATACTCCTTTGGCATATCCTCCTGTTACTGCTAATTTACACCTCCCCAAACTCTGTCTTCCTTATCTATCCACCATCCATGTATGTACCTTTGACTAACCATTATATGCATCTTTGGTTCTTGTACTTTCTCCGCCGAAGAAGCTTTTCGTTTCGTGGTAACTTCTCATTCTTCACGAAAACCTTAACATGTTCCACTGCAGAATAATGTTGCCCTGGCTGAGATGAGGTCTTCTGTTCTTCACTGGTAGTTGTGTATTGTATTCAGCGTTAAGCTATTTGCCCTAATGTTGATCGATCTCTACCATCCACTACTCTTCAAGCACTTGCTTATCGTCGTTATCAGCATGCAGTTTGTCGTTCTGATTCAACCCCGCTTTCAATTGCCCGAAAGTCCCGCCCACAGAAGTTAACTTTGAAAGCCCGTCCAACGGTAGTGTTCTTCTACGATCGCTGCTTTATGGAACGATCTTCTTTATTATCTATCTTTAGGGACGGAAGCCATAAGTCTTAATTGAGATTTCCCTCTACTTCTATTGAACAGCGATCATGGCGTTTACCCATTTGTTGTAAATCATGCTTTGTGATGTAATAGAGAACCACCAATTACACAAATAGAAGGAAGGAAAGAAAATCTTGTTTTTTTACGGCGAATCGTGAACTAAACCACCGAAATCATTTCCTCGTGATGTTTGCATCCAAAATGTGATCCTCTATTGTGAAAACCGTTTATTAAGTGCTGTCACGGATTTTCAATCAGGAATGATGATATTAACCACCATTCCGGATTGGTTTTATCACTGAAATCTCCACTGCAGCCTTCTTGAAGATTGCAGTTTCCAAAGCAGAACAATTACTAACTTTTCCGCATCGGTTAACATGTTTACAAAAGTGGTCTTCACCCGATTTCAGTCTGCTACAAATTGTACTCGCTGCATCTGGCCGAATCAGAGTTGTCAAGACATCGTGTACAGCTCTCTAACCTAGCAACGAGGTCGGTTGTCTAATCATCACTCACTGGTCATGTCTGAAGTGGGTTGAATCAAACAGCAATCACCATACATACACACGACTAGTCGTGTTCACCGATGTCCATCCTGAAGACAATGTATGGACGATGTTCGTCATCAGAAGCGAGTATCACATCAAATTCTCCACATGCTTGAGTGAATTTCGTTGATGGAACAATCACGTCCATTTAATGAACAGATGTTGTTTAATGTGTGTGAGACATGCACGAGTGTTTTGTAATGACAATAGAAGTAAAATATTAATAATAAAATAAAATAAATAATAAAATGCTTGTCTTGATTAGACATGACAGAAGATAAACCGAGAGAGATATTTTGTTGACTGAAATGAGCAATTCAACGCGAAAACCTATCGAGGTGAGTAAACAATTGCCTGTTATTCAGTGGTTGCTGTCATAAGCTGAACTACTCCCGGAAGATAACACAATCGTATCTCCAACCCGGCTAAATCCATTCTAGTCTCGCCTTCCTACTAGAACTGAATCTGTAACCGCAGTGAACACCTTTTCGCGAAGGGAAAGCGCGACTTGACCTCCTGGTCCGTATGCGACACTCTTCACTGAATTGTATTCGGCGTAAGCTGTTTGGGATATCCAAGAAGACAGTCTAGACCTCTTCCAGAAGACCGGTTGGTGCGGTGATGTAAAGGGGAAAAAGTTGCTCTGATTCGGAGAGACTTGAGTTTGTTTGACCTAATTTGAGATTAAGATCTGCACCTCCAGTACCGTAGTCACATCGAATAATTCTTGTTTCAAACCTCCATGGAAGCTTGTGAGTGAAATGAAGGAAGTTTGTTAACTCATGTCTTTGATTTTAATTTTTTTCCGATTGTTTAACAGTAAAGCGCGCAGTTGAACAAAGTACATGATTCCATTAATACTATTATGAAAATTCACTCGGAAGTGGGACAACTTTGACAACTGAGCATCTTCTTCACTTCTCATATGGAAGTTGGGATACAATTTCCTAGTAGTCCCGACAAACATGTCTCGAGAATCAAAATAAAAATTCGGAATTGTTTAACTTTGTTTCAGTATTTTGCTTGGAGATAATTTTTTGTGGGGGATCGTGTCGTGGACAGATTAAAAACATATTCACGACATCGATTTGAACTGTCTATCCTTCAGGCTTCATCCTCACGCACAATCTTCAGTTTATCCAGTCAACCAAACAGTCGAGAAGCACTATATAGACTGGAGTTTCGCTCTCCATGGAGTTCATAAGTAGTGCATATCCACCGTCCGGGTAGGTCTTTGAACTCCGGGTTCTTCGCATGGAAGATGGGTGTGTTACTACTGAGCTAACCAGCCCACACCGAGGCCGATCAGAATATCCAGCCCATATTCGTTCAGATGTCTTCAATAAAAGCCAATCAGTCAGTCAGTTAGTCCAACAACAACAAGTGGGGACACATTTGACTAACTGTTAACGCTATTTGAAAGCCTCTCCCCATCCACAATGCGCTAAAAGCTTGCATAATATAACTGTCGTGGGTAATAAATTCTCAACTTATACATATATATATATATAAACTATTCATCAGTTGGCAAGATACTGCATTCAGATATGCTTATTCCCTGGAAATTTGTGATTTTCAGGTACGGTACTTCACGTATGCTCTGCTCATGGAACACTTTCCCCTAACCTTAATTTCACATTTCATTCTCTCCCGTTCTCTCCTCCGGTTTCCCACATCGCTCCCAGCTTGTTGAGTGAGTGTCTGGCATCTACCGGACACTTCTC